GGCCGCGTCCGGCCGGGACGGTGCCCTACCGAGGGGAGGGGGACGATACTGGTTTGAGGGGGGTTGGAGCCGTTCTTGGAGTTGAGGACGGTCCCGCGGGGTTGTGGGGGCTCGGTGTGGCGGATCCGCCGTCGGGCTGGGGGCACCGGTGCCTCTTCCCCGGGGGATCGGGCCTGGTGTGGGCGGTGTCGCAGAGGACGAGGTGCCTCTCCTGGGGGCGGCTGCTTGTCGCTTCTGCTGTTGCTGCAGAAGGCAGTCTGCCGGGCGTTAGAGCCGCTGTCTTGAGATTTTCTTCGTTATTTTACTCGATACGATCTTGTCATAATGAGACAGAAAGAATGGACAAGATCACTCTACAAAAACGTTGCTTTTTGGGGAGCAGCGTGTCTCCCCTTGAATCACAAGGTGTTGTCTTTCATCAGGTTGATTGCCTTCTCGAAAGTTGTAGGTAAGTCCTCTTCTTCCATGAGACGTCGAATCAGTAGGAGAACAATAAATAGGAATTATTTTCATCTTGGCAAAGAGCACATAATTGTTTGGGATAACTCGAGAGAGTCGTTGCTGAGGGTGAATGGGATTGTTTGAAGTTGTGCCTCACTAATACAGGCCAGAGTCAGGAAGCTGTGAAATCCCCTCCAGACGTCACTGGTGGCAGCCAGCAGCTGGGTTTGGTGGCCCGGTGGGATGGAAGCCACAGCGACCCTGAGTGCTCAGAACACAGGCCCTCAGTCCATTAGAAACAGTGACTGCAACAGTGCACAACTGTGTCTTTAAAGGAGCATTGGTGTATGGATGAATGTCCTTTTTTCCTTTGTGTTTTCCTTCAAACATCAGCGATAAGGCTTCCCCTGCAGTTGTTAATCTGGCGAACAGCCAGGCCTGTAGATAGCTTATGGTTTACTTGTTCTTGAATGCTTCATATCTTGCCTATGGAAGGCCAATAAAAGAGGCTTTTATATAACTTCCTTTACCAAGAAGTTTTTTTTTTTTTTAAAAAAAAAGATTTCTATGCAGAAAAATGCATCACTGCTTTTGAGCTGTGGGAGGGAAAGTATGAAGAAAGCTGAACCAGTCAGATTACAGATGGTATTGGTATTTGGACTGGATAACTTCAGAATATCCACGTGATGCTGTAATGATGTATTTCAAACCACTGTATTTTTAAAGTAAAGTGTATGATGCTTTGTTTTCCCCGTCCAGATTACAGGGCCTGATAATAAAGGAATTTATAAAGGCGATCGAGAGTCCAGTGGAAAATACACGTTTGCTGCCCACATGGATGGAACTTACAAGTTTTGCTTTAGCAACAGAATGTCCACCATGACTCCCAAAATAGTGATGTTCACTATTGATATCGGGGAAGCTCCAAAGGGGCAAGACATGGAGACAGAAGGTGAGAAAGACTCCTGGAGAGAAATTAGCTCTGTCTCAGGAACTTTAAAAAAACTTTTGAACTTAATTAGGATTCTCAGAATTCCTGTTTCTTCAGGCTGTCTAGTTAGGCGTTCTCTTGCACAGCTAAAATGGATACGGGCGTTTTTAGACCTTGTTACACAATTTAATGCAAAATCATCAGGGAATCACTTGGCCATCTGCAGAAACTAATGCTTTCATCCTTTAGTCTTTTCATCAGTTTCATTCTCCGATTTCTAGTTTGCTCAGCAGTATGTAGACTACTACGTGCATTAGTTGAGCTCTTTGATAAATGTGCTAATATAAAATTTTTCTCTTAGCTGTGTAAATTACTGTTTTATCTGCAGCCTTTTGTCCTGTACTTGTGTTCATCTCTTACACTTTTCTCTAGGTGGTGGAGATACCTGGGATGGTATGTGTACTGCTTTTTGAAAGCTCATTAGCATCTTGTCTTTTGCATATGTTTATTCACTAACAGCTAACGTTTGCTTTTTCTCTGTAACATTTGTTTGTAGCATGAGAATGTCTTGTTAATAAACTACATAAAAGGTCTGATTCTGAGCAATGCTGAGCACCTGCAAGCTTCCATCGAGAGGTTTTATATTCTTAGCAGCTCTTGGGATCAGGTCCTTGAACTGTCCATGGCAGTTTGTCTTCAGGTGGTTACTTGCGGCTAACGGAAGATTTACAGGAGTTGTAGGTGAAATTAAACTAAAACAGTGAACATCCAAGAACATGGGATATTTTAGATGGTCTTTGCTTTTTGTTGCTGAAGTGGGCGTTGAATAATCGAGGGCTTTTAGCAATAAGCTTCTTTTAGGTGATTAATTATCACTAATGTTACAAGGGGGAAAACTTCAAACTTGTCATTTGCTGTAAAAGAAAGAAATTAATTTATTGGGTAACAAGTTATAAAGTTTTATTTAAAATCACTAACTGTAGCTAGAAAGGCAATAAATTGTTTTCTGTTTTAGCACGTAAATAACTCTGCATTGAGTGCTTGATATCATGTGAAAAGTAACAAATTCCTAACTTTAGATTTTTTTTAAAAGACTCAGTTAAATCTTTTATTGAGTCTGAATATATCTGTTGTAAAGAATATTAGTGCAGCTTTAAGTTTTTAAGGCAAACCTTTTTTTAGTGTATTTTTTTGAGTGGGTTTAGACAATCCCTGCAGCTGTCATTTCTTCTCTTACTAATAAACTGCATTTATTGCAATGACCAGTTGGCCATGAAAATAAGGGATTTACAATATAAAAAAGTGAGCGTGGTTTACGCAACTATTTAAGATTTTAATTGTAACTTGTATGAGTGTTATCCTCTGGTCCTCTTTTTGACTGTTCCCTGTAAGGTGTGTCTTTTGAGTAGCTTTATTTTCAGATTGTGATCTGAAACAATTTATGAACAGAAACATAATAACGTAGTTTCAAAGTCAAGTGTGTCCCTTCAATGGAAAATCTGCTGGTTTTTGTGACTTTTTTTAAGAGAGCTTATTGCCCAGGGCCTGACTGTGGAATGATACTGTGGACTTCTCTTGGTGCTAGAAAACTTTGAAAACTACTCTCATAATTTATAAATTTGTAAGTGGACAGTTCTTTGAGCATGAATGTGTTTAAAAGATCCTGTGATTGACAGTCAGTTCACTAAATCTTTGACTTCTAAACCTTCCATTTGCTGAACTATCTCAAGCTAGTTTGCTGTTATCATTGGTTTGGTATTTTTCTCTTCTGCTTTCATGACATACCAGAACCTGAATCCGGTTTCTGCCCTCTGCCAGGCCCCTTTGGCATTGTTTCTGCTGAATGCTGTGCTTCAGCTAAACCAGAAGATCACAAGATGTGATATGTTGCTTCAGAAAGTGATCTCGTTTTGCCAGCATCATGATCTTAAGCTAAATTCTCAGTCGTTCTATTTTTGCGAGCTTAACAACTAGGAAAAGCTGTAATGTTGAGATAATTTGCTTGGAGTATATTGGACGATATCAGCAAAATAGATACTAGTGTGTGGTAGTGGTCTCGTGTGTTCTTACATTCTGTTTTTCTGGAATCGTATGCCCATAGTGGAAATAAGTGGTCTGTACTGACTCTAAATTGTGTATCTTCTGCCTTCTAGTTGGATGTGGAGAAAGATGTTTTCCCACTTATTAAATACCAGAGAGTGTGTTAGGAAAAGTGGAACTATGAAAACTAAACTTTGCTGTAAAGATCGAAAGTTTTCAGCTGTACAGACTGCATTTTTCAGAACTTCTGCAATGGGAAACTAAGTATAACTGTTCATAAAAATATAATTACCATAATAACAGCCTTTCTGATGCTTCTGAAATTATTCCACAGCTCATCAGAACAAGCTAGAAGAGATGATTAATGAGTTAGCAGTGGCCATGACGGCTGTAAAGCACGAACAGGAGTACATGGAAGTTCGTGAAAGAATACATAGAGCAAGTATGTGTCTTTGTCTTAAATGCCTTCTCACCTCTCAAATGAACTTACAAAATATGTTTTACAATAACAAGTCTGCGAAAGCTATTCCAAGTTACTAAAAAAAAAAAAGAATTTAGAACAAGTTCTGAGGGACCTGCCCATACAATAATGGATATAGTTGATGTTTGCAATCTTCTTTAAGTTGGGTTGCCTGTCATCTAATGAAGATTGTTATGCAGAATAATCTTTGCTTAATTGGTGTAAATTCCGTAGTTTTTTGCATGGCATATTCATGAAGATATTGGTGATTATATGGTTCCCAGGGATAGACTTTGGTTGAACTCTTACTTCATCCTTGAAGTGGGTGTGTCTTAATTTTTTAAATATTTTGTTGAAATAGAGCAGAACTACTGTTATTTCCAAGTGGAGAATATGGTTAGCTCTCCAGTCACCACCCTCACTTTCTGAAACGCAGCTCTAAAATATGACTGAGTGCACTAAGTGGTGCATTAGGGGAAGCCCAATGAGAATAAGGGGCAAATACTTTTAGTGTGAAAATACAACATTATATTAAAGCACTGACCCCTCAACTTCTGTGATTCTGTGAACTTTTTGAACCTGTGAATATCTGCAGTTTCACGACTTGTTACTAATGGTCTGATTTAAGCAAATGCTGAATTTTTAGAACCAAAGATGATGAACCTTTAGAGGTTAGAAGTTCCCCACTTGACTTCAAGACTGCAATACGCAGCTGTTACTTGAAAAATCAAGTGGCTTCTCTTTGGTCTCTTTGAAGGTGGGCAGAAGAGAGAAAGATGCTGCAGTGTGTGTCCAGAGTTGAGGTTAAAACAGCTGCTTGTGCAGCACGGTTCAAGCTGGTCAGAAAAACACCCCCCTCGGCTCTCAGATCTTACCTCTAAGACTGCAGAGTCCTTCTGGGAAACTTGTCATGGTGTGACACAGATGTCAGTGGTTTATGTGCAGTATTTCATTTCCAGTGACAGTGTGTTTTAAGTTTGTTTTAAATACTTTGTTACTTACTATTTTTTTTTTCCCCCAACAGTTAATGACAACACGAACAGCAGAGTGGTTCTTTGGTCATTCTTTGAAGCTCTTGTACTAGTTGCCATGACACTGGGACAGATCTACTATCTGAAGAGGTTTTTTGAAGTCCGAAGGGTTGTTTAAGAGTACTTTTCTGTTCTCGGATTTCAGTTCACTGGCTACCAAACAATCCTGGTCACAAAAAAAGTCATTTAGTTTCTGAACCCTCTTTACTGAACTTTAAAACTTATTTGCTTATGTTCCTTCCTAGTTAAATTGTTTTTATATATCTTCTGTAGCAAAAGCTGTGCTGAAATCTTGTCACTTGATTGGCATAATTTTCTTCACTTAAATCTGCCTAGTCTGTATGCTAAGCGAGGTCCAAGCAAGCTGCAAATGCTGTAACTCAGCTGTAGTAACAAGCAATGTTGATGTCTCTTCTAACTTTTTTTTTCCGTTTTCATAAGTACTTGCGGTTCTATCTAGGGAAACGGTACAAGGCCCTAACATGACTGTTTGCGTTGTTGACATCTTTAACCCTGCAGTAGGTGTTGCAAAATTAGACTAATTCCTTCTTCACTTACATAAACCACCAAGAAGTGATTGGAACTTTGTTCTGATAACAAATAGAAGACAGCTGAGCACTTCCAATCTTGTGTTCATACCTAGTTGCTGTTTAAAAGAGAGTCTTCAGTAACTGTCCGAATTACATCGACTTCTTCCTGAAGTTCTTTTAAATTAAAGTTGATATCAAAGTACATTTTTTCCTGTCGTTACCGAATGTCCATCGTATGGTTTTTAGTCTTTCACAGGTTTTCTATCGAAGCCAATTGTGTGCAGTGTCTTGGCAAACCATAGTTAACCCTTTGGTTTTCGCAGGTCCAAAGCTCAGACTGTTGGCACTATCGCAGTGTGCGTTAGTGTTCAGGAAATCTGGATACCTGATGCCAAAGGGTTAATGATTCTGGGGGTTTATTGCGATGCTATGCAGCCTTTTTATTTAAGTTAAGTGGCAGTCCCTGCCATTATCTGATCATAATTAGCATAATGCTAAATACTGGTGTGTTTTCTTTTCAGGCACATGTAGATTTGTTTTTGTATAAAGTTACTTTCCTCGGTATCTGATGATTGGTTTAAAAATTAAAGAAGCGTCTGATGTGGGTGCTGAGCCAGGATTATGTTGTGACTGATGTATATTAGTTGTAATCATTTTTGGGGGTGGGGTGGGGTCTTTTCCAGGGGGGAGCCTCTACAAATAACACATAACAGTTTTGTACAATTAATTTAAAATTTGTTACAGGTTTTCATGTTCCAGGTAAAGTTTTTTCAACCTCGGGCAAACACTTGCAGCAGTTCTTCAGAAAGGTGGCTGTTACACCTTATTGCAACTGTTGTGTGCCAATATTTTTGTGTAAAAAAACCAAAAAACCACTGAAAATTTGAATTCAAGATGTACATTTAAAAAATTGCTTGTGAATCTAAATATGACCCAGGTTCGATAAATAAACAAATTCTTTAAAAAAACCAAGTTTGTATTTTTTTTTTCTTTGGTGCTTTAAGGAAGTACAGTTGAACCCTCCGAGCTTTTTCATGGAGTATCTCTTGGGATGTCAGGAATTCATCCAGATGCGATGTGGGTCGGAGACATCGCAGGTGATTCTAAACCTGCAGCTCCACCGCTCGGCTCCGGGCAGCTGAGTGTCACAGTGCTGCTCTGTGACCCGCAGAAATACTGACTAGCATAGGCTGCTTGCCTTAAAGAAAGGATTTTTTGCTGTATCCGACGGGTCGTGGTTATACCGAGTTTTACCGAGGGGGTGGCAGAGGCCGGCGGTGCCTGGGGCGGAACCAAGGTGCTGCGGCGCGTGTTTCCGGTCGGGCCCGT